TAGTATTTATAACTGTCATCTTTAACATGATGTAACAAGAGATTTCTTTGGTTATGTAATGTAATCAAGATAATCACAGTAGAACTTTTATGTTATAATTGAAACTTTTGATATCCTATTAACTCCTCTTCCTATTCTAAGTTGTAATTCCTTATATGTTAACAAACATATATTGGTTTTCCTTCTTGTTTATTTTTCATGCTATTTTCTTCATTTAATAAATGCTTTCTTTAACATCCCTGAACCACCCCATGTTTATACTTCTGAAATGAAAATCATACGATATTTTATTTTGGGTTTTACCTACCTGGATTGATTATGTGCTCATTGCAAACAAGGCCCAATTAATTAAGTCCCTTAAAAATATAATCGAGTTTCTTGATCATAGCTAAAATTTAAAACTGTGTAGGAATAGGGGAATAAGGATAAAGGACCAAGATCAAAGACTATGAATTTAGGGCACTATCTTAATATTTTCATAGGAAATACAGCTGTATGTAAGAAGCAGCAGTCACTATAGTAGAGGAAGAAAAGGTAGTGTTCCTTTTGAAAGGCAGACCCCAGAATAATGCTGAGTTTGGCCATGAGAAAGGCAAAGACTGCTATGTTATCTGTTTCTGAATTAGAAAAAAATATCTTTAGAATATAAATACCTGCACTGCCATGGAGTTGATTTAGATAGAACCTTTCTTAAATATAAGGTAGAAGGAATTATGTGTTGGTGTTTTACATATCAGCAAAAATATTCAGAAAATTTTACATTCAAAACCTGCATTATCTGAACCAGAAATTAACATTTAAGTTAAACAAGTTAGCTGATTTTTTTCTGATCATAAAAAGAGAGAGACTAAAAAATTCTACTGATTATTTTCTCTGGATATATAAATGTTGCCTGGAGATAGAGGATGAAAAATTACCTGCAGTTTCATTCTACACGTGAAATTAGCAGGACAAATTACCTTCATTTCCTGTAGGGTCTGTAGTATTTTTTCCAAATAGAATGCTTGAAGATATTGCTGTATCTAAGTCTTAACATTTAAAAGTTTGTCAATGTAGCTATGAAAGTTTGCTACATAAATCAAGACATACATTGACTTTTCCTTCTCTATATCTATGAAAGTCCCAGATGGAGTCTTATTCTGATATAAATCTGCTTTGTCTGTATCAGAAATATGTTGTTTAGTGCAGCCACCTTCATGAATTACCTTAACTCTATCTGGATAACTTACTGGAGCTTCTCCATCAGCACTTGATGCTTCATTTTTCACTTCTGTGTTATAGAGATGGCATCTTTCCTTAAACTTCATGAACCAATCTCTTCTAGCTTCACATAATTTTCTGTAGTTTTTTCACCTCACTCATCCTTTATGAAATAAAAGAGGCCCTTTCTCTGGTTTAGACTTTGGCTTTATGGAATGTTGTGACTGGTTTGATCTATCCAGATTACTAAAACTTTTTCCATATTAGCAATAAGGCTCTTTTAGTTTCTGTGTTCTTTTTTGTGTTAACTGGAGTGGCACTTCTAATTTTCTTCAATAACTTTTCCTTTGTATTCACAACTTTGCTGTTTCAAGCAAGAGACCTAGCTTTGAGTCTGTCTTGGCTTTCAACACGCCTTCTTCACTAAGATTAATCATTTCTTGCTTTTGATTTAAAGTAAGAGACATGTGACTTTTCCTTTCACTTGAACACTTAGAGGCCCTTGTAGTGTTATTAATTGGCCTATTTTCAATATTTTCGTGCCTTAGGGAATAGGGAGACCTGAAGAGAATGAGAGAGACTGTTAGTGGAGCAGTCAGAACACACAGAAACATTTATCTATTAAATTTACTGTCTTATATGGGCTTGGTTCACGGTGCCCTCAAATATTACAATAGTAGTATCAAAGGTACCTGATCACAGATCATTATAACAGGTATAATAACAATGAAAAAGTTTGGAATATTGTGAGAATTACCATAACATGATACAGAGAGGTGAAGTGAGTACATGCTATTGAAAAACGGCGCTGAAAAACTTGCTTCAGTCAAGGATGCCACAACTTTCCATTTGTAAAAAAACAGGGTATTTGCAAGGAGTGATAAAGCACAGCACAATAAAAGGAGATATGCTGATATACCTGTACAATTACCATGTGTCCATTTTTAAAAACCCAGTACTTGCTAGTTATTATAATTTTCTGCTTTTTTCTAAAAGTTGAGTTTTGAAAAACACAATGTAATTGATAGTTTAATTAATGTTTTATTATATATAAATAATGGTGCAATAAGAATATATAAATTAGTCCAGCAAACAGAAAACTGCAATTATTTTATGCTTCACTGGAAAATAGAAGTATCAAGGAAAGTCCCTGGAGATCAGAATGTGCTTTGATATTATTCAACCCAATCATTAAGCAGTCAGTGGAAAATGTGAATGAGTGTACATCCAAATGTATAATAATAAAATGTTAGAACTGAGAGATAATAAATCAATTTGATCAAAAATACAGATGGATCTGGACAGCTGGAGAAATTATTCAGATTAGAAAGAGATGAGTTTTAATGAAAGGAATAGTAAGATCATGCATTTAAAGAAGAATAATACACAGTAGGAAAATATAAACTAATAAAGAGCTAAGACACATATGAAGTAATTACGGAGAACATTATTTTAGTGTATTCATTGATATACTGTGTTTTAAGTCCAGTGTTATAACAATGAAGGATAATGGTGTTCTAAGTTTCCTAACTTGAACAACTGGAAAAGAAAAAGAGAAAAATTATAATACCACTTAGCTAAACAATAACATTTTGTCCATAAGCTTAATGGAGATTTTATAAAGTTAGCCAATTTCAGAACAAAGTAGGAATTGTAACAAAAGCTGGCAATTTTAATTACCATAGTGATAGCAGTTTGAATTGTTTTATATTTAAAATATTTAATTTATTGACATATCCCCAATCTTGGATATTAATCTCAACTCTGTCTGCCTCAAAGTTTTCTACCAGGTCCCACTCTTGTATGTTTAAATCTTTTAACTTCAAAGCATCATTACATACTCTTTCTTTGCACTCAAGGGGTAGTGAAACTAATCAAACCAAAGACCCACAGTTGGTTGTTTTGAGTAAAAGAGAACAATTCTAATCCCCTCAATATATCACACACTCTGACAATAATTTAGGCCAGGCCAATTCCAATTTTATAACTTTTTATATTGCTAAGAACAACAAGAAATTATTATTAGAACACAGTTTGAGTTTATCCCCAGGGAGACATGCACTAACCAATATAATTATTAGTTTATTTCAAAGGAAAATATCCTGAATTTTAAAAAGCAATGGTACTATATGTAAAAAATATAGTCTACTGAGATGGTAGTGTCCATGTCAAATGTTCATAAAATTTTGAAGAACCTTTTTGAGAGGGTATGCTATAACAGTAGAAATCTTGATTGAGCATTTAGAAAAAACATAAATTTTTGTGCCAATTCTATTCTACTTGCTTTGTAGTCTTGGCAAGTCTCTGATTCTCTCTAGGGACTTACTAAAATCATGATAGTAAGAGTTAATGACAAAACTGGAAGTCATATATAAAGGTAAACTTCTACTATCAACCTAATTAATATTAGTTTTAATATTATTTACTTATAAACAAATACAGTAATGTCCCAGATAAAATATAGACATTTGTCCTAGTGAGGGTACTTACATATGTTTTAATAAAACTTCCAAATGTTTTATAAAACTCCTGAACACTAAAATATTAAACTTTAACCTTTAACCTTTTTTTTTTTTTTTTTGAGTCGAGTCCATTTTTATTGTGGATCATGGCTCATTGTGGTCAGTATCGGTTAGCTGCACCATCTGCCATCCTTCTCTGTGGGAGAGCCTAAATTTAGCCCAATAAATCAGGATCAAGAAAGAGAAAAAAAGCCCTGGGCCACATGGCCCCTACTGCTGTATCTACACCTAACAGTCACTGAACACTTACCCAAGTGTGACGGTTTCCACGCAGGAGACCCAAGTGGCTCTGCTAGGGAGAATAACTTATTTGCCTAAAGCTTTTTTTTTTTTTCTCTCTCTCTCTCTCAAAAGGAAAAAGAAAAAAAAAAAAAAAAAGCTGGTTTCTAGAAACAGGTGTGGAATTGAAGACTGTCCCAGGGAGCCAAATTTTACGGATGAAATCACAAACTTATTGCTTCTTCAACAATGTCATGAATCCATTCCTTGCACCATTGGACGTTTTTCATGCATTTAAAAGTGTTTCTAGAGCTCCAGAACCACGAGAACCTCAGGTCCTGAGCACTCACATCCCTCAGAGAGCCTCCTGCAGCAGACCTTTCTCTAGAAGTCCTGAGACTATGTACTCTCCGAAAGCTGGAGGTTTGTGCGTAGTTTGTACATGTGGTTGAGCGCTTGTGTTAGCAAAGTCCTGCTGGTGTTGATCTCCATCAAGGTCAAGTTGTCCAGCTTGGCAGGTGCCTCCTGCTGTCTCACAAAGCTGTCAGCAGACACTCAGAGTTTGGCTTATGAGTGTCCCACATATCCTTGACCAGGGTCGGGATTTCGCCTGAGTTCGGGATGTTGTCTGAAGCATGATTAACAGCGGCTTGATAAGTTCCATGTAGTAAGGCTGGGCATTGGGGTAGGTAAATGTTCCTTTCGTTCATGATCCCTCATCTTCTCCAGCTTTTCTGTGTCCATCCACTCCGAAGGGAGCAGCTGACATTTCTGTTTTTGTTTCAGGTTACTGGCCAGCTACAGGGCACTTCCACTGGTAAACCAAACCTGGGTTAAAAGGCCCCAGTCCCCTCGACCCACTCGCCATGAGGTGGATCTTGTCCAGACTGAAGTAGGGGATGACGGTAACCAGCTCCCTCGGCCAGGAGCTCCACCTCCTCCGCGTTCTGACCCGAGGCCAGCCCTGAGGCCAGTCTGGCCGCGCGCAGTCAGGGCCAGTGCGGAGCCTGCGAGGGACGCGCATCCTCGGGGATGCCCCCTACCCCCGCCGCGGGCGCCATGGGCGTTGCCCACTCCCACTCCGCCTCCGAGGAGCTGCGGGAGCTCCAGGGCAAGACCGGCTTCTCAACAGATCAGATCGAGCAGCTCCATCGGAGATTTAAGCAGCTGAGTGGAGGTCAGCCTACCATCCGCAAGGAGAACTTCAACAACGTCCCGGACCTGGAGCTCAACCCCATCCGATCCAGAATTGTTCGTGCCTTCTTTGACCACAGGAACCTGCGCAAGGGCCCCAGCGGCCTGGCTGATGAGATCGATTTCGAGGACTTCCTGATCATCATGTCCTACTTCAGGCCCATCGACAGCACCATGGGCGAGGAGCAGGTGGCGCAGTCCCGGAGGGAGAAGCTGAGGTTTCTGTTCCACATGTACGACGCCGACAGCGACGGCCGCATCACCCTGGAAGAATATCGAAATGTGGTCGAGGAGCTGCTGTCGGGAAAGCCGCACATCCATGAGTCCGCTGGCTCCATCGCCGAGGGGGCCATGATGGAGGCGGCCAGCGTGTGCTTGGGGCAAACGGAGCCTGATCAGGTGTACGAGGCCATCACCTTCGAGGACTTCCTGAAGATCTTGCAAGGGATGGACATTGAGTCCAAGATGCACATCTGCTTCCTTAACATGGAAACCATGGCCCTCTGCCACTGACCGGCCACCACCTCCACGGAGAAACTGCACTTTGCAATGGGGCCGCCTCCCGGCCGGGTTGGAACAGCCCAGTCCCAGCGGACAGCCCTCCCTACAGTTCCCGTGCATGGCAAAGGCTTATCTGCTCACCTTGTGTCTTATAGGGTATGGTATGTGGAACTTTGCTGTTTTTAACTCTAATAAAAAAAAAAAAAAAAAAAAAAAAAAAAAAAAAAAAAAAAAAAAAAAACCTCACCCAGTTAATTAGTGTGGGCTGCCACAGCAAAATCACATGCGCTGAATGTCTTAAACCACAGACATGGATTTCTCACAGTACCCTCTTCTTATAAAGACACTAATCTTATCACTGTCATCTACTTTTACGATTTCATCTAAGCCTAATTACCTACCAAAGGCCCTACCTCCTTAATCCATCAAACTGGAGGTTAGGGCTTCAGCATATGAATTTGGGAGGACACATTCACTTTGTAACTCCAGGGTGTCATTTATTTTTCTCTCTACTCTTTCTCTTAAAAAAAAAAAAATAAATTTATTGTCTTGGATTTCTCACTTTTAAGTCCTTTTAGAGTGTTTTTTGTTTGTTTGTTCAACTATCTCTTCTGTCCTGGATAACTGGTGTTTATCATTGTCAGGAAGGTAATGATTTACAATAGTTTTAATAAGACAAAATTATTAGCACTTCTCATTTCATGTGATGTCAATTAGGTAAGTGAGTGCTTGTTTTGTCATTTGCAGAGAAAGGAGGAAAAAAAAATTTAGTATTCACTGTAGCTTCTTCATTTTTATAAATGGTGTTTCTTCCTGCACTGCTTTCTGCTGCAGTCCCAGAAGCACTTACTAATTCTGAAACCCTCTCTTGGGTGATTCTCTGAATTGGAAATTGTGACCTTGAGGTTGTATTGATAGATCATTTCTTGTGTGCTCTGACTCAATGACTATGTTGAATTCCAGAGAACAGCATCTTTCCTTTGCTCTGGGTGATTCACTTGTCTCAAGGGTCTTTGCTACTCTTCCCTCATAGGGACACTTTCATGTATGTGACCTCTCTGGGCACCAAATACAAGCACAAACTCATGGCCAATATGTATGCTTACAATATAGTCACATAGGTAAGAGAATGGAAGAGGCCAGGTAGAACATATAAATCAAGGAGTAACTTTAGCCAAATAATTTAATGTTATAGCATATATGGGTCAGAGAATATTTTTGAATAAATAACACATCTTAGAAATTATCAGTAAAACAAGTCTTTGCTTGAGAATTGAACTTATTTTAGATTGTTATTTATTTATCTATTTATTTATTTATTTATTTATTTATTTCTTGAGACGGAGTCTCGCCCTGTTGCCAAGGCTGGAGTGCAATGGTGCAATCTCGGCTCACTGCAACCTCTGCCTCCCAGGTTCAAGGTCTCCTGCCCCAAATTCCCGAGTAGCTGGGATTACAGGTGTGTGCCACCACACCTGGCTAATTTTTTGTATCTTTAGTAGAGACTAGTTTTCAACATGTTGGCCAGGCTGCTCTCGAACTCCTGACCTCGTGATTCACCCGACTCAGCCTCCCAAAGTTCTAGGATTACAGGAGTGAGCCACTGCACCCAGCCCTAGATTGTTATTTTAACATTTGATTATAATACTTACACTAATACTTAAATCAAATTTTAAGGACAAATCAAGATTATGTTTTACAATAACCAGCATTCTATAAAATAGCTCATTAAAATTTTCCTTTATTACAAGGGAGGAAACTGACCACATCCCAAGGACTCCTAGATAATAGGCAGGAGAACCAGGGTTAAGATATATGTCTATTACAATTCAGAGCAGTCCAAGGTCTTAAAAACTGTCTCTACCTATTGGCAAAATATTGTAGTCAGCAAAAGTATGAGTCCCTGAGTATATTTGTGAAGCTAAAGGCATGGAGGTAAAAGTGACATTCCAGCCCTTGTACTCTACACTGATCAGGTATTAAACAAAAGCCTTATGTCTGGAGTTGGGAAAGTATAGAAAACCGTCCTACCCCTGGCATCTACAGGCATACTTTGGAGACCTTGATAAAGTTATTTAGGAAAGTTCATACATTGCTGACTCTGTACTGGAAGCACACATTCCAGAAGACATGCAATAAATTATGGATTGTTTAAAGGCCCAGTATAATACAATGAAATGACAATCATCCTGAAAACCAAGGTCTTGCTGGGCAAATCCTACACTTAGCAGCAACTCTCTCCTGACCTATAGGGCTCAGAGCTGTCACCGTATTCTGTTACCTCCATCGCTCATCGCCAGTCTCCATTATACTGTGTTATATTGATACACCAGCACCCTATTTATGGATTGGCTTCATAAAAGAGAAAATATAACTAAATATTATAAAACCAAAGTAGCCACATTATACATGAGGGTAAACCCAGGAGAAAATCAAAAATAAAGAAAGAAAAAGATAAGGGAGAGCAAAACACTTTCATATATGAGTACATATTACCTCAAATGGTTTCTTTGTAGCCATGGAAGTAAAATGATAGATATTAATAACAGTAAAAGTGTTTACTAATTTATCACACAATAAATGATTTGCTCTATCCTAGAGTTTATGGTTCTATCATGCTTTTTTTTTTTTTTGTAATTATCAATACCAGTATTAGGAGCTAAGGATGCTGTATTAAGGATGGTATGTAATATAATTTAGCTGTGGGGAGCAGTAACCCAATGCAAACTGTTCCAGATAAAAATAAAGATAGGAGTATTTAGCTGGCAAACAGAAATTCAAGCATAGGAACACTTTTAAATATGACATGATATACGTGTTCAAATGAGATAGTCAAGAATAGCTCACAAGCTAAGTCTTCACTACTGATTTGCTTTTATCTTTGGTGACTTTACTTTTAGCCATTTATTCTCAAACACAAATAGTGCCAAGTGACCAACAAGTGACAGCATGATGATATTGGATCAGTTAAAAATTTCTTTTTGAAAACATACAACAAACAAACAAAACACTATTCTTTTCATTGAGTTTTAACAAACTCATATGTAAGGATCTCACTGGTCCAATGCAGGTAATGAGTCATTGAGAAGCTTAAAGTGTCCTGAATGGCCACACTGGGGTCACATCTATTCCTAAAGCTCAAGGCTGAGCCAAACTCTTTCTAATCACATGGACTAAGATTGAGGAAAGAATTATCTCTTCCCGGAAAAGTCAAGGTTCTTTTACCAAAAAAAAAAGGTAACTGGTTGCTGGGTAGGTAAAATATTAGGTGTCCAGTATGAATGGCACTCATGAGAAGAAATGAAACTTAAAAGAATTTAAGAATAATAATGTATGCTCAGAGCCTAGAGAGCCTTTAAACACTACCATTCCCATTGTTCAGTATTCGGACATGATTTATTGGCAAGCACTGTGTTAATGTTGTCTTCGATTGGCAAAATGCACTTGAAATTATCAAGATGCTTTACCAGAATGCATCCATTGCTTTTGCAGCCATGGTTAGTAGATAATGCACTGATATGAAGCCAGTATATTTTTTAGCCAAAAGAAAGACTGGACCACAGAAACTCAGCCCGTAGAAATGTAAAAAGAATTGCTAATTATTTGAAATAAACAGAAATAGCAGCAGGCAGCTGACAGCTAGAAATCTGAGATGGGCCGATATCATTTTGGAAAAAAAAAGTCTCTGTAGGACTACATTATACAGACTAATATAAAAGAGGTAGCGCTTCAAAAACAAAGGCATGTCTGAAAGCAGAAAACTCACTTGCTAAAAAGCAGCTTCCAATAACTGCCTGTTTCAGAACAGGTACTGTTTTTTTCAGTCTCCTCCTCCACTATCACCATCCAAATATTAAATATTAAAGCATGATAACTATGTTTGTATACCATATAGGTGTAAATGCCATGCACACCCTTGTAGGAGAACTATCACATGGATTTAAGCAATGTAGTGAAATGACCCTGTCTCCAAAACAACCAACTGTACAAATAACAAAAAAATAGCAACTACAATTTAATGCCCAAATTCCAGTAATCAAAATAGAGATCTTACACTTAAGTCCCATATAAATTTAAGACTACTTGAGAAAACATGATTAAGAACTTTTTTAAAAGTACATTGTCTGGTTTGCATGAAACCAGGAAAATTGAAATTTTAGTGATAGTTTGCTTCAGTGATAGAAATTATATTAGCAAACTCTTGTATACATGTGCTGTATCTAGTTTAGTCTCATCACAGTTTAAAAAAATGTATGAGTATGTGTATCTGCCTGCAGGTATGCATTTATATATAATACTGCTCTTAATGGCAAAGGTATTCAGTTAGACTCTTAAAGACATGCTATAAAAAGAACAATTCTTATGGTGTAATTTAAATGCAGTAAGAGAAAAAGGATTAAGTGCATACACTTTAGCAGGTTCAGCTAGCTTATTTGTGCATCCAACATAATCTCTTAAAAATTACCATAAGCAAAATATAACAGATTGTAAACGGTTGCTCATATTAATTTAGCTAAGGACTTGTAATCTGCCTAAGCGTTATTTAACAGAACATAATTGCAAAACAGTATGATACCTCCAGAGTTTGAAAGACACTTATGAGCCTAAATAATATTTAGCCATCAGAAGGCTAAAATAGGAAATACTTTAACAGTAGATACTTTTCAAATATATGCAGATTTATTTTTCTTCCAAATGGAAAAGTACATTTGACTGAGTCAGAAAAATCAACAAAAAATCTCTGGACTTGAACGGGACTCTAGACCAAACAGAGCTAGTAACCATTTACAAAAATATTCTATCCAATAGTGGCAAAATATACATTTTTTTCTTATCTATACAAGGAACATTCTCCAAAATAGACCATATGCTTGGCCATAAAGTTTCAATAAATTAAAAAATATCAGGCCGAGCACGGTGGCTCAAGCCTGTAATCCCAGCACTTTGGGAGGCTGAGGCGGGTGGATCATGAGGTCAAGAGATCGAGACCATCCTGGTCAACATGGTGAAAC